ACTCCAGTTTTTGACTATGCCTCCCCCTAATTTGTTGCAAAAATCAAGCACGGTTAACAGTAGAGTATATTTATAACTTTATACCTGCGTAAATCCTCCTATAAATATCTCGCTTAAAAAGGTTGCAGAAATTCGTATTATCGGCGCGTTTTTTTGAGCCCTCGCTTCGCTAGTTGAGAGGAGTGGGGTGTTTGATTACTTTGACAAAAGGATTTTTAAATCAAATTTGTAGTTAGTTTTTCGATGAAATATAGTTTCTATTACACGGGAGCATACTCTATCCATCTATCAAATTTCGTCCATAACGGTCGTTGCTATAATTTATCCTTAATGCAACTAATGTTGGCAAATGGTGGGGGTAGATATTCCGAGGCCCAAGAAAACGTGCGCATATAATACTTGACTGGTTTGTGTTTGTTCTAACTATAGATTAGGTTGTCTGCTCAGCTTCTTAATTTGTAATTTGTCTTTCTCTAAGATTCGAAAAATTAATATTTAAAAAAGACAGGACACTATTAAACGTCAATCATAATTAATTCCACACGTGTGCCATACATATGTGTATTCATTCACGCGACGTAATAAAATTTGCAAATTTTATATTAAAAATGTAGCATTCTTGATAACTCGATTGGAATACGAAAACAAACACACACGTACACATTTGCTTTATCGCAACATCGTTCATTACTCACATCCCGGTATAGCACGAATTTACATTCAGTCTGCCAGGCCAAACCAACACTGGCACACTGCCTACCGATCAGCAGAAGAGATTTCTGAACGTTTGGCACTGCTAACAGAATATCAAACCTTTGAATATAACTATGAAGTAAAGAATTAGGAACTTTCAAAGACGAAGATATTTATTCCATACATTAAACTCACACTCCTTTAATTATTGAAATCTATTTCATAAATTTTGAAGAAGATGGAGCACAAACAATGTTTTATAAAAAACAGAAATACTCGTATGATACTCGGTTGGCCCAAATTTTCGTTCGGCGAAGTAACCTTGGGATTCCCCTGAGTCTCTGTCTTTCGTGACAAAGTAGCCTTTGTGTTGGTCGAAGAGTTACGGCGCCTTTCGGGGGTCTTCGG